GGTCCCGACTCCAACTTTGGGAAACGCTGGCCTATACTGAACATACAGCACGTGCCCTCAAGCTCATGTAATGCTTTTTTGTTTAAAAGCTTTACTTACAACTAGAATATAAAGTTATTGAAACAAATAAAACTATATAAATGTACAGTTGTGAAACAGAAATGAACCCAAGAATGCAGGTATATGGCGTGGTGTGGTCCAATAAAAAAAAAAACACAACTACTAACTTACTAGTGAACAGGAACAAAAAGCAGGCATGAATGATGCATTACTTAGATAACAGCTGTGTTAATGACCACATGAGCTACAGGTGTGTGTGTGTGTGACAGTGTGTACAGGGGAACTAAAGGAACCAGAACTGCCTGACTAAACTGGTAACAAAGCACACTGGATGTATGCAAAACATCTCATGAACCACTGGATGAATTTTATTAAAGCTTTCATCAAATAACCCCCTCCATGTAGCTCTACAACTGATGAGCTTTTGCAACCAGTCCGATTCAAGATGGTCACCACAGCTAAACAACCTTAGTTAACACGACTATAATTTAGTCCGTTTTATAAATATTAAACAAAAAAATTTGTATGGTAGTTGCTGAGAGTCATGCTCAATGCGTACTCTCAGCAATAACAAATCACACAAGATCTCCAAATATTGAATGAGACTGAGCATAACGTAACTAACAAGGTTTTGGCTATAATTCTTTATTAAAACAATTATTTTAGTTTAAAAATCGTGCATGAAAGGCAGCAGGCCATATGCATTTTTCCAGGAATGATTGGCCTTTTTTATGTAAATATTCATCAACTTTTAAGTATCTTTTCATACTCTTTTCTAAAAAAGGACACAGCATATCAATTCAYTGAATATGAAACGTTATTAAAAAGAAGTGATTTTTTTTCATGTTTTTCCTTCRGTTAATAATTTTAAATATGTTTTTTTTTTTTATCCATAAGCTTTCCAACTTTATAAGACCTGAAATATCGGTGGTCAGTGCTGCTGTTTCATAATCCCGAGGTTGCAGGTTCAAGCTCAGGTTGCGTCAGGAAGGGCTTCGCGTGTAAAACAATTACCTTTTTTTTTCTCGTGTGAGCTAGCTTGTTATGAGGACCCCTAAAGAAGGGAGGAACCAAAAGAGAAACAACATAAACTTGAGCAGTTTTTTTTCAACTTATCTAAAAGTTGTGCTTTCAGCTGCTAAACACTTCTTGTTTTCATCTTGTGCACAAGTTGAGTAAGTATTGAAGGGAGCTCAATTGTGAAAGTACTAATCCACTGGAGTAATATGTAAATCTTGTTTATCATTGGCTGATTAGGAGATTGTTCTCTCACCTGAATTAGAGGAAATCTTTTGAATTGGATGTTTGTGCCCACAGAGAGGGGATGAAAGTGAACTAAAACCAGGACTTGGATAACACACACAGTATTGTCTCTCAGTGAACAGTAGTGTGTTTGTGCTGCTACCTACACTCCCGTCTCACATGCTTGACCTGGATTGGACAAAAGTCCTTGTTGTGTTTTGAGCCTTTGGTTTCCCTAATAGGAAGAAAACTAATCATTGTGCGTTTGATTCCAGCATTCGATATTTTTCTTTCCGGTTCTAAAAATCATCCAACAGCGAAGCAACATGTACTCACTTAATTTTGAAGCCTCAGAGAAGAAGGAAATTATTTTAGTTAAAAGCTTTTTTTTAAGTTCATGTTGATTTAAAAATGCATTACACACTGAGCATTTTGAAGGTGTGGCCTGCATGCTTGTTAAACCTGGCCTTCTTCTGAGCAAAACTTGTCTTTGTTTTAAAATGTAACCAGCAGCTGAGTTGCAATCATCAGTAAAGTTGTCTCTTGACACGAGGCCCATTTGAATTTTGGCCAGCAGCTCTTAGACCTTATGCTACCTTTGTCTCCTCACATTATTCAGCCTCTGTAAATCTCTAATGCTGGATTGGAGAAAGTCTGCATAGATTTCAGTGCTGCATTAATCATGCATGAAAAAGTTGCAGGCAGGTTTGAATTTGCTTTTGATATGATCTGTATTCCAAGGATGGAGGAGTATTCATTCCCTCAGCCATCTAAACTCAACCTGGGATTTTCTTTTCTTTCTTTTTTTTTTAAATCTCAGTTTCCAAACTATTGAACGTTTGAAATTTAGCTGACTTCCTGGTGCAGTTTCACCAACCTCATTAAGTCTGTTGATCAGCTCAGGGATTATGCAAAATACTGTATCTGGAGGTTGATGAAGGACAAGATTTAAACACAAGTAATTACAGCTGAAAGCACATTTAAGGAGAAAGTTTGCAAGTTTTCGTCAGCCCATTTAAGTTTAGATCATTTAAATTAGATTTGAATGAAGAAAATGACCAAATATATACACTCACCGGCCACTTTATTAGGTACACCTGTCCAACTGCTCGTTAACACTTAATTTCTAATCAGCCAATCACATGGCGGCAAC